AGCTATAGTAGGTATTGAGAGACATCTGTGGGTGAATCTGGCAGATATCGGGATGGAAGAGTGGGGCTTTCTTCTCGATGCGCCGGTTTCGCCTTCCGAATATTTTTGGTTACCTCCGTTGAGACGGTGGTCCAGAAGTTCAGGGAGGCAAAGGCGCGCTCAGCGGCCTTCAGTCCTTCATTTCACGATGGTCCAGGTCTAAGCCTGAACAAGCATAGGGGTCCTGGTCCATCTCGGTCTGAGGATCAAAGACGGCCACAGAAGGCTAGTGTCGCGGCTTGCGCTCCTCCCCCACCTGCGGATAGGGGTAGAAGGAATCGTGGGTCAAAGGGAGGTAGGCAAGCCCTAGGGATGTGATCCAGACAAGGCTTCAGCGCTTTCGTCCGGATCAGAGTGATACTTGAGTATCTGCTCGTTTCCTTCAGGGGTCTTACATCTGCCCTTAGCTCCTAATTCCACTATAACCACCAGCTCTCCACCTGACCAAGGTTAGGTAGGAATTTTCCTGCATTTCTGTCTCCTATGCTGGACCTATATGTTTGGTTGGTTCTATGGCTTCATAGTGACCACCTTGCTGATGGTCTGGAATAGAGGCTTCTTTGAGTCGCCTTTTTAACGGGGCTCCGGCACGGGAACCATGGTGGATGAGTATGATCCATTTTATATATATATATATATATATATATATATATATTTATTTTATGTGCTGGTGGTTATGTGTGTATAATCCTTCTGTGATATTTCTTTGCAGCGTTTTCCGGGACCTGTGTGTTTCTGTCCTTTCTAAGGTAGGTCCTCTGTGAGCACCCCTTTGCTGGATTTAGAAACCAGGTGCTCGACTTGCAGTGTTACCTCACTCGTTGATATTGTGTTCAGCCGGTATGATAGCCCTGGTTCTGGCTTCATGCTTCCTGGACCATGCGGCCAGGTCAGAGGCTTCTGCGGGAGCCTTCTTGATCATTAGGCCCCCGGCACGACACTGCAAAAAAGTCCTGGATGTCCGGGCTCCAGGATATCCCCTCTTGCTGAGGCATCGAGCAGGAAGTATAGATGGTATTTGCGAGAACCTTCTTGTGTAATGCTGTCTCAGGCAGTGCTCCCCTCACCTTAGAGGGTCATATTTGAGCTTGCCTCTCCCGTTTGGCCCAGTACCTCTGGGTATCTGTGATCAGATGCCTGGAAATTTAAATCCATGCTATGGTAAGTGCACACGTTAAGCTCTGTGCACTTTTTGAAATCCACATATTGGTAAGTGTGCACGTTGAACACTTTGCGCACTTTCTAAAATCCACAGTAGTTGTAAGTGTGCACGCTAAGCACTTTGCGCACTTTCTAAAATCCACATAAGTGGTAAGTGTGCACACTAGACTTTTGCACTTTGCGCACTTTCTAAAATCATGTACGGTAAGGGTTACGCGTTATAGCTTCGTTCCCTTTCT